TCCTGCTCATTCAAAGCTTTCTTCACTTGATCCAACTTTGCCTTGCCCTCCTGTTTCAAGGCTTCGCCCTCGCCCGTGGTGATCTTCTCGCACTCCTGCTCCAGACCTGCCAAGACAGTCTGGCCCTTCAGGAGGCTGTCCATCATGCTTCGTTGTGCCTTTTGCACAGAAGCTTTGTAGGCCAGCATCTCGATCGGAAGGCTGAGGCCCTCCTCCTCGGCCTTTCGTTTCTTCTCGGCTTGCTCTTGCTTCTTGGCCTGTTGGAGTGCAGTGGCTTGCTGATACAACATCTCATCCCGCTGCTCCTCCTGTTCTCTGATCTCTCCGAGATCTTTGCTCACAGTGAGCAATGGGATGAGCTTCTCCTCAGCACCCGGGCCGCTTTCAAGGTTGGCCGTCCTCTCGACCTCCAAACGCTGCCTGGCTCGCTCCACCCTCGACTCCCGGTCTTCTTCGTACTGCTGCAAATCAGACTGGGTCTGGATGTCGGCCCGCTGCCGCAAGGTGCTGCTCATGCCGTGCATCCCCCGGGCCCGGACTTCAACGCCGGCGAACTCGTGGATGCAGACCTCGCCCCTCCGCATGATTGTCTTGGTGTTGGGGTCCTTCAGCTTCTTGTTCCACAGCACCTCAGCCTCCTTCTGGGGGTTGGCGTTCTTGAAGGTCATCTCGATTTGTGCAAATTTGCGGAAAGGAATACGTAAAGGCATCAATGTCGTCTTCGAGGCTGCTCGTCTCCTTCTTCTCTTCTACCACACCGACTGCTGTGCTGAAGTTCCTCCGCTTGTTGCTGTCCTCCGTGGCCCTCGCGGCCTTTTGCTCGCAATACCATGCCACTTTTTCCTCAACTCTCTTTTTCTTCAGCTCGTCTTTGACCTTGAGAGCTGCCATACGCTTGGCACGCTGGTCTTCCGTCTCTTCCGCGACGCACCTGGGCTTGGCGGTTGCTCTCGTCAGCCACCTTTCCGTGGCTTGGCACCCGTTACACGCCCGGAGTAAAGGATTCCTTCCGGTGTCATTGTTGTTGGTTGCTTGCACTTCTGACCTGCTTCACCGGAAGGCTCCGGTGCTGACATTGTGCAGCAAAGCACAAAACCACAGGCAGGGTCGCAGGATCGGAAACTCAAGAAAATCCCTGGAGCCATACAAGACACGAACAAAACTAAATCAGTGCCCGCCCACAACCCCATGGCCACACGCAACCAAACGCCGGATCAGCAACCCAGGACCCTGCATGCACGAACTCAGGAACCAACCCCGCACTCCTGGCCCAGGCTCACCCCGAAACCGGACCAGGCCCTAAAGGCCCAGCCGAACTTCCTACTTCTGTTGCAGCCTCTTGCTTTAGCAGCTCGGATGAATTCCACCGAATTGTCTCCTGTCACAGGTCGGACAGTCTAAACAATTGTTAATTAAGTCTAAGCAATTGTTAATTAAGGGCTCAGTTCAGTACCATGGCACGGTACACATTCTGCGAAGCCGGCGACGTTGGGGTTGGTAGGTGTCACAACCCGACACCACCGTCGACTCTGCCCGTTTGGTGATACCGGCAAGCCAGGCCCTGGTGGATATTGCATCCACCTGTCCGTCTTTTCCGATTTCTTGTGGCTGGACAACAATGGCCGAACCGTCGTCCGCATCCTCAACGTCGTCGCTTTCTGTGTGCTTCTCCGGGCTTGCCTCTGAGCGGATCATGTTCCGCAGCTCCTCCACACAGAGCCTTTGGCCCTGGTCAAAGGCCAAGCCACCGTGCTTCAGGGCAGATTCCAGCAACGGCACAACCATGCTAGCCAGGTTACGAACTTTTCCACACTCCTGAGCAACAAAAGACTTCGGTATATCAACAGCATTCTCAAGTGCACGCCTAAAGGAGCGAAATAAGCAAAGTAAAACACAAGTGAAAAGCACATGACTGGAAATAGGAAAATCGTTCGTACCCCGCCTCAGGCTGTTCCAGAGGGGCAGACTGTTCGTGAACGATTCCCAAAAGTACGAAGCAACAGCGTACATGACTTTAAACACGCTCCAGTGCACTAGGCTTCATGACTAAATCAGTCTAGCTAGCGTATCGGGCTCGGTTTAGCCGGCCCAAGGCTTTGCTCGGATGTCTCACTACAGACTGTACACACTACGCATGTTTGCATCGCAAGGCGTAGGCCGCCGAGGATGTAAACGGCTTGACTGGCGCAAGCGAACGCTCTCACAAGTTATCAAGCAAAAGCGGATTCATGGTGGTTCACGCGCTTCATGCGCCCAATCAGCAAAAGATTATGACGGCCTAGTTACCGTCGAGCGCCAACTGCGCTCACAGCGGACTTGAGCCGCTCCACGGCTCGTTGAAGTGTGGTCAACATTCGGATTAGCAGCAAAATGCTGCAGCATGGAAATCGCTCCAACCGTCAACCCTACAGTGGGAATGGACGTGCATGTACGTGAGGGTCAACTACATTGGCATGCGCACAACAAAACTCTGTGAGAGACGCTGCTCTATGGCAAAAGATGCCAACAGGCTGTGGTCCCTTGGTCCTCCTATGGGCCCCCGCATGTGTTTGAGGCTATTGCTAAGGGAGGCTTTGCACGCTGTCGCCACCTTGCGAGCGACAAGCGGGGTATGATGCACTCGCTCAATGGGTTTTGCAAACTGCTGGAAATACAGGGGGGCTACCCCGCAACATGGATCAACAAGCAGCTGAAGAATTGGTGTGACCAAAACTTTGGCACCCAATGCCATCTACATGAGCAGATTCTATTGACGACACAGCCGTTGGAAGATGCAGTGTTGAACAGAAGTTTCAACTCTCCTTCGATTTGTGTTCCCGTTGGTCATTTGTGCCTGCGACAGTTGTGACGACATGCTGTA